CTCTTCGTAAAATTTTATAAGTTCTTTTAATTGTTGTAAATTAGCCAAATGTTTCTCTAGTAAAAAATTTATATCTTCGGTAGACATCTTTCTCCTTTTACACATATTTACTCTTCAAGTGTTTAAATAATACTAAAGAATAAAGCGTTAAATTATTATTTCTATACATTTATTCACAAGCGGTAAATACACATATGAGTTGAAAATCATTTTTGAGTTTATTTGGATTAATTTCTAGAAATTCCAACATATAATATGATAATTCACAAACATTTAAATAACAATATTTTTTAATTTCTTCCAAACAATTTTCTTCAGAGACATTACAAGCTCTAATATAATGTAAAAGATTATCGTAAAAAGGTCTTAAGTCTAATTTTACAAGTAACTCTAACCTATAATTAACAATAAACTTTTGATTTAAAATTAATCGAATATCTTCCATAGTGAAACAAAACGGCACATCCAAGCACATCACTGTAATTATCCACTCTTCCAAGAATTTGCTTACTTTAACGGTGAAATTTTCAGATAGGGCTTGAACAGTTTTCTCCATTTTCTCATTGTCAGGTACCAAAATAAATGATGATGCAATGTTCAAAAACTCGAACCAATCCGTATCGTCAAAAGATATTATCATTAGTTCATTGGGTAGGTTAAATAATTTGTTCACAATTTTAACTGATGGTACCAATCCTCTCGCGATACTTATTCCAGCAACAATATCAAAGTTCTTCGTGGGATAACACGTTTCAGCCAATAATCTGCGTTCTTTCTTGATTTCCGTATTACTTCGTAAAACCATACTGTTTAGATACTCGAAATAATCTGGTGAGGAACATGATGAATTTGAGGTTATGTCTAGCGCTCTCATATCGACATACGCACAAACAGATGTCTTGACGATTATTAATTGATCGTATATGTTTTATTTCCTTCCCCTACCACCACCAAACTAATTTATTTGTTTAAACTTGTTTATATTCAATTCTAAAAATAGAATCTTACGTAACGACCAACCGCTATCTCTTTCCTGGAAAGCACCAGATTTCGTCACTAAGACTTGTTTAAACTCGTTGAATACTTCATCCAGATTTGTATTTTCGTAAACAACATCATATCGGGAATTAAACGATTTAATATCTTCTTTCGTTTCAGATCCTAATATGTATGAACAAAATAATTCCATATTGAATTTGATGGCGGTATGAATCGATATATATTCCTGAAGTAAACGTACAATAGTATCTTAAGAGCATCTAAATATAGGATAATATTATTCGGATGTGATTCAGAGGTTATCCTATAAGATTTAATTCGATTTTTAAAAGCACACCTAACAAGCTGAATTCCAGGTTCTAATTCTACACAACACTGATTTTTATGTTGATGACTTAAACAGTGGAAATTACACTCCTTACACAATGAATGCATTTTGAATACTGAAGAGGTTTAGACAATGTCTTTACTTTTATCAATCCAACTATTATGTGATTTGTCGAATCCTAACCACTTGACTAGAATTTTATTTCCTTTCTTTTTCAACACTTGCTCTACAAGATAGATTTCAGGTTGTTTAGTTTTCTGTAATTCTTCTTCGTAAAATCCACCGCTGATGGGATTACCTTGATAACCTTCTAAGAGGTACGTTACAGGGTTTGTGATTTTTACTTTAGATACTTTGAAAAGCTCAGTGGTCCAATTTGGCGTATATCCTTTTTCAAAAAGATGTTTCTGTTTTGAGATTCTAACGGTATCGCCAACTTTAAATTTTGATTTTCCCGCTACCTTAATATGACTATAAACGCCACCTAGTAGTTTCTCTTCACTATTACTATCCACATTCTTCGGTTTCATTCCAATGGTTCTGTGTTTCGTATCGTTATAGTCTTCTGTAACTTTATTTAGTAATTCCAGCCATTTATGGTTCCCATTCAACGTAAACGATCTAAACAATTTTTCCTTAATAGTGCGAATTACACGTTCAGCTATAGAGGCTTTCAAAGGACTAAAAGTACTGTAGTGTTGGATCTTAGTAGGGGTAGAAGGCCGATTCTGCATCAGGAGCAGGAGCAGAGCGCACAGCGCATGCGCGTAAATCAGCTAGGAACATGTAAAATAGGCTAATAAACAAGAATAAACGGGTTTGAACTGCTTTGAACCGCTTTTGAACAGCTTTGAACGGCTTTTTAGCGTAAAACAACAGACCTGTTCAGTTTTTTATTCAAGCCCGTTCAAAGCTGTTCAAAGTTCAAAAGTTCAAGCCCGTTCTTGTTTATTAACTATTTTACATGCTAGCATGCTGTGCGCTAACTCCTGCTCCTGATGCAGAATCGGCCTTCTACCCCTACTGATCTTGTATTTTTTCATCAAATTTTGAAACTGACTGTTGTAATACTCTTTGCCATTATCCGACACCAACTTTTTAGGAATTCTGTTTGAAGATTTCAATATGATTTCCATGGCCTTAGTAATGTCTGGTGCAGATTTTGATTTTACAGGTTTTGTCCATAGATATTTGGAAAAACAATCAATCACAACCAAGATATATTTATAGCCCTTATTCTCTCGAGAATATTGATCTAATTGAGCAAGATCGGTGGCAAAAGTATCGTCTAAACCATACTGAATAAATCTTCGTCTTTTGAATTTAATACGAGCGGGTTTATGAAGTTCCCTAACGACTTGTTCTCTAGAACCCATCGCTTTGTCTAACGAAATAGTGCTGGTATATGTGTATTTATATTTTATTTTGGGTTAGAATTTTTTTTACTTAATAATAAATCTTCAAGGACACCTTTTACATCACCCAAATCGTTTGATAAATCGTCTATTTTCTGGTTTGTTATTGTCTTAAACGAATCAAGCACTCTCTGATATTGTGCTGCTATATCCGTATCAATGTTCTGTATATCATGCTCAATGTTTGATAGTTAGAATTGATACTATCCAGTTCTAGACGTTTTAACCTTACGCTGGATTTTTCTAATCACCGTATCTCGTATAATTCTTTATCGCACTTTCCAAGCATATCAAGATCTATATGCAGTTTCTTGACTATCTCATCCTCTAAAGTTCCAAATTTCTTATCCATATCCGTTAGACGTGTTGAAATTTTTGAAAACGTCTCCTGTAAGTCTATCTCTAACGCTTCTAATCTTTCGGCAAGAACACTGTTAAATGCGTTTATTGTTTCCATAGAACGAGCTTGAAATTTTATCTCTTCGCGGACTTTCCCTGCTAGCTCATCAGTATATCGTTTAGTCGATACATCGCTCTCTTCTGTAGGGTCTTCAACATTAGTTATTTTTCGATTTTCAAAATCATAATCTCCTTCAGGTGTGTGGGAAAATTCAGGTTGAGGGTGTACTAACCTTCGCTTGGAAGATAAAGACCATCCGAACTTGTTCATGGTTGAAATAATAATGCTCAAATATCTAGTATAACACTTTATTTATAGGTTCAACTACACCTAGTTCTAACAATTCTTCAAGAATACTCATTATTTCATTCGTATGGTTTCCGTTTCCTGCTGTTTGAGAGGCATCCAGTTTACTTAATCTATCCACCAACTCGTTGACGTCATCATAATAAATATATTCTTTAGGTTTTTCATTATACTCAGTAGTGCGGATCCAGATTTAGTTTGCGATCTGGTTTTAGGGATTTTCTGTGCTATATTGCTGGCTGATGAATGCCTAAGTCTTGAACCTTCAAGCGAAGCCGAAGATGCAGCTGTAATCAATGGTTTAACGAAATCCCTATATTTCACAGATTTACTACCTCTCAATTGTCCCAATGGACTAAAATCTCTTTTGTGAACGTTGGTTTGCTTCAATATTTTCTGAAATTGAACTCTATCGTTTTCAGTAAAGTGCATAGGTTTCTTTAGAAATAACAATTCATATAAACCACGATTTCCTTTGTAAATAGAATCGCCTACTCGTATATCACCATTTTGAAGAAAATCCACTTTTTCCGTCCCCATTTTCCAAGTTTCAGTTGGTGCATTATGTTGTAAACCATACGTATGATCTATTTCATCGGAATCTATAAAGTACTTATCGATAAATTCATGTGCTATTTTTGGATACTGATCCAAGTAGCTCTTGTACACTTCAGTTTGTTCTAGAATTGATTTTTGAAGATCTTCGTTAGCATCTTTAAATGCTTGTAGTGATTGTACTTCCATAAAAACATTATCATCATCATCATTATCACTGTTTCCAGACTTCTCCGCAATCATTTCAGTCGGCTGGAATTCAACATACTTTTGAGAACTGCGTTCAGGTTTCGGCTGTTTCTTTATCGATGATGGTGGTGTTATCTTTTCCATCTTTACAATTTCCTCTTCCTTGTTCTTTATTGTTCTGTCTGCGAGTTTATTTAAGGGTATAGTTATAGGTCCCAATATTCTATTTAGAGTTTCATCTCCCTCATCACGTTCTAATTTCAAGGCTAGATGTTTTTTTCGTATATGTCTAGCAGCATTTATAATCTTTCTCTGAACTTCTCGCTCATCTTTTGTTAATATTTTAGGCATTTCGAACTCGATCTGTTTCAATCAGGGCCGTTCCAATCAGGTCCGTTCAATCAGGTCCGTTCAATCAGGTCTGTTACAATCGGGCCTGTTTCAATCAGGTCTGTTTCAATCAGGTCTGTTCCAATCGGGTCTGTTTCAATCAGGTCTGTTTCAATCAGGTCTGTTGCAATCGGATCGTCTGATACTAGGTGTATCCTCGATCAAGGACTCTTACATACTAACCATTAAACTATGTTTATGGTATTATATAGGTATTAAATCTGCTTCGGTAACGGCCTTTGTGAATATCACAGTCTTTAACAATAACAAGAAATCCATATTTGTCTTTCCAACATTCAGAACATATATCCTTAAACATGTTTATCGACATGTCTGTATTTACGTGATCATCATACACATGCCTAAGATTAGTATCATCTTGCTTGAAAAGTATCAACATATTAGCATTATTCGAACCAATTGTTTAGGGATCTTTGAATAGGTCTGACAGAGGTAAAACGAGTCGATTGCATTGTGACGACCCATGCAAAAATAATTTCTAATTTTATCTTGTTTCTCACAAGCTACATCATCGAATATGAAGACAGAGTCGGGTTTGGCGTTTACGGGATCCAATACACTATCGTTATCGCTGTATCCGTAGTAATTAACACCTTTAATACGATCCAAAACCTGTTGCAAAAATGTGTATTTGTCTTGAAAGAGAGACTTTGAGTAAACATACACGTTCTCAAACCGAAGTCCGTTTGGATCTGTTAAAAGACTTAACATCACATTCGTTTTTCCTGAATTACTGGGGCCACAGATTATAGCCCTTATAGTATTTGGTAATAGATCGCTATGTCGATTTCTAGCATCACCCTGTGCGATATCGAAATTACAAACATCAATATCGATTTTCTGTTTAACTTTTCTCATTTTTTTTTTCACATATATACGATGTTTATTCGATCACGTCTTCAGTTGTAATGAGAACGTCAAAGGGTAAAGGTCTCTTAAATAGGGCTATCAATAAATTACCATTTGAACTTCATTTACCTGGTTACCAGTATTGTGGTCCGGGAACAAAGCTTGCTAAACGATTAGCTAGAGGAGATCCAGGCATAAACGAATTAGATCGAGCGTGTAAGGAGCACGATATCGCATACTCGAAAGAAAAGGATTTGAATCGACGACATCAAGCCGATAAAGTGTTGGAGGAAAAAGCGTGGGAAAGAGTTAAAGCTTTGGATTCTAATATCGGAGAAAAAAGTGCTGCGTGGCTTGTTACAAACGCAATGAAAACAAAACGAAAGCTTGGTATGGGTGTTAAACGAAAACCCTTCAAATCTTTTATTGTTAATAAAGTGAAGAGACATATTAAACATTATGGTAATGGCACCCTCAAGGATAATATTAAACTAGCACTGAGAGCAGCTCGCATGAGTGTTAAACAAGCTGGTGGTAGAAGAAAAGTTAAAGTACCTAGAGTTATCCCAGTACCTAAAGTCGGAGGAATTTTACCTCTTATTCCGCTCTTCGCAGGCCTAAGTGCTTTGGGAGCTCTTACCGGAGGCGCTGCTTCTGTCGCTAAAGCTGTTCAAGATAGCCGAGCGGCAAGAGATAAATTAAAGGAATCTCAACGACATAACGAAACCATGGAAGCCATTGCGTTGGGTAAAAGAGGAAGCGGATTATACCTTGCCAAACACAAGACAGGATATGGATTATTTCTTCAGAAGCAATTGCCAAAAAACTACCAATAAAGCTACCCAATCGACCTTTGTCTAACCTAGATATACAGAAATATGTAAAGAAATTAAAAATTGTCAACTTCAGAGGAGTATTTATGCGAAATGCTCTACCACAAACACCTAGAACGAACGAGTGCGGTGTTGTAAATTTGGACGAGATTGAAGGAGATGGAACTCATTGGGTAGCATATAGAAAAACAAGGGATAAAGTTGTGTATTTTGATAGTTTTGGAAATTTAAACCCACCAAAAGAATTGTTCGATATTTCAAGAAATGTTAAAAATATATTATAATTACGATCAGTATCAAACATAATACTTACAATTGTGGTCATCTTGCATTGTCCTTTCTCTATAATAATAAATAGTTATAAAAAGAACATGTTTTTAATTTCACGCTCAGTCATTGTCTCTCAGACATTCACGCTGAAAGGTCGTTCTAGCTAAGTTTAAGCGTGGACATTAATCCTCAATAGGGAGACTCGATTCTAGAATACAGTTATTCTCTAGCTCTGATATCTCTCAATACCTGGAATTCAATACCGAATATCGAACCAGGTCGAAATAAGTTTCATTATTCTGTAGACGGTATAAAGCAAATAATTGAAATTCCAATAGGATCTTACGAGATTACCGACATTGAAGAGTATTTGCAAAAAAGAGCTAAGTTCTAAAAAGAGTAAAAACCGTTATAAAAGTTCACATCTAATAATAATAATACACTAAAGTGTGAAATAAAGTGTATCTACGATATAGATTTTCAACCTGAAGATAGTATTGGAAAAATATTAGGATTTTCACCGCAAGTTTTAGCTGCCAACAAATTGCACAAATCAGATATACCTGCGGAAATTTTTCCTGTGGTAACAATACGTACCGAGTGCAATATCATATCTGGATCGTATTACATTAATAATCCATCTCATACACTGTACGAGTTTAGTCCAAGCGTAGATCCTGGCTATAGTATAATTATCGAACCCAGGAATCTAATCTATCTCCCAGTAAATAGAAATTTTATTGATAACATTACATTGGATATATTAGATCAGGAATCAAGACCCGTCAACTTTAGAGGTGAAGACATTGTTATACGTTTGGAGCTTAAAAAGAATGGGTTTAACTTTTAAACCTTACTATTTAAATACCAGCTCACAGAGCAATCAATCAGTTAGTACTTGTACACCACAGCAGACGCTCACGTCCAAGAGCATACTTCAGCTTCACCATATTATCAGTAAATATGGACTCCGTATCAGAAAAACTACAAATATTCCAACCGGTCAACGTAGATGAATCCATTGCTCGAGAAGAATGGCATACGTATCACCCATTCACCAAATCATTTAAGAACAGCGATGAGATAGAAATTGTTATTAATCAGCAGGATGTGTTTATGGATATTAGCCAGGCTGAATTATACATTGAGGCGAAATTTTTGGAAGAAGTATCGACAGTTGTGAAAACAGGAAAATGTTCCCTGACAAATAACGTTGGAGCATTTCTATTTGAATCGATAACGTATGAATTGAATGGAAAAGTAATCGATAAAGTACGAGATTCAGGGCTTATAAGTACCGTTAAAAGTCTTGTGTCTCAATCAAAATGAAAGTACTGCCCTTGATTGGCGGGATGGAATTGGCCGAACGGTACTGTGAAATCATATGACCAGAAACGGATAATTTCAGTCTCCCTAATACCATTGAATTTCCTATTGAACGTCTTCTCCGATTATACTAGTGCTATTATGGGAACGCAGAAATTAAAGCTTGTACGTGCCAAAAAAGATGATAATTGTTATGTTAATTCAGAGAAGGAAACAAAAGCAGACATCACCATTTTTGAATATCGAGTTAAGAGTAAAACATATCTACCCGAACGATTCTGTGAAATTAAAATTGTTTGAAGCGATTTCAAGGACAAACCGATATTTATTGGATTTAGGAATGGGAAATTCATGAACTACCTGCTCTACGACAAGCGAGAAAAGATGTATGGACAGTGAAGGCAGCATCTGAACGAGCGAGATATGTTGTTGTATTCTTCCAAGAAGATCGAAAAGATAACTATAAAGCTGATGGCACATATTTCGATAATTTGAAAATTACAGATGTCAAGCTTTATCTAAATTCCGAGGCCTACCCATATGAATCCCTAGATTTAAATTTCAAAACCAGACAGTTTACTAAAGCCTATTCCATGTATACGGATTTTCAAAAATCGTATTTGGGAAAGATCAATAGCGAACCTTTGCTAGATTTTACCGCTTTTGCCAGTCGAGCCCTATTTGTAATTGATTGTTCAAAACAAAACGAGGCTCTGAAAAGTAATGTGATAGATGTAAAGCTAGAATTTGAGAGTTCGGAAAATTTCCCCGAAAACACCCGAGCATTTTGTATCATCATATACGATCGAGTCATGGAATATTTACCTTTATCAGGACATGTTAGAACGCTAATTTAATCAGTTGCTGCAAGACATTGATACGATGAAGTTCGTTGTTATAGACGTACAAGGATTTCCCATCCCCGAATTTGAGGTTAAGGAATTATCCATATACGATGGAAAAGAAATGAAAACCTATACGTTTAAACCAAAGATTTGTTACCACCATCTGCCGATACACCATAAGAAGACGATAAATTATATATTTCACAATGTTCATGGAATCCCTTATAATTCAGGGTATTTACCCTATAAGGCGATGTATAACATAATACAGGAGGAATTGGAAGGTGTCGATATGGTTTTCGTTAAAGGATCTATTAAAAAGGAATTTCTGCTGTGCACGTACAACGAAATGAATCTTGATCCACCCTGTATAGTGAACTTGGAATTTACTTCTGGACCTGTGCCGAAATTAGAACAATCATACAGTAATTGTAATTATCATAGACTAGAAATATGTTCTTGTACTGTAAATAATGTTCATATATTATATGATTATATTATAAACCTTTTAACTCAATAAATTTAAATCTATTAATATCCAGTATTTTTACTTATTAGCTCATAGATTAATATTAGCTCATTTTACTGTAAACCATTGTCTTGTTCACATCGCTCTCATCATATCGTTATGGATAAATCAAGTGTATTAGAACCAATAATTAATGTAGCATTAAACATTTCCGAGAACCTGGCAGAAAAGCAAATTATTTTCCAAAGTACAAACAAAAAGAAGAAGAAGATTCAAATGTCATATGAAGGTTTTTCAACGTTTCTGGACTTTGTTGATAAAAACGTTAATAGTGATTGGTGTGATAAATCTATAGAAATTGATGGGCATTTAAACATAACTTATGCTTTTGAAGAAGAAGTAAAGTGCTGATAATTCAAGATAGGAAATGGAAAATTTATATTGATTGGGAGGATGATTGTATATTGTTATTTAAATACTGTTTACCTATTTTTTATAATTTACTAGATGAGAGAAATGTGGAAAATAAATACACAGTGAAATGAAAAAAATTGTTTTATTTAGAATACTCTAAATCATTTTTTTTTTATAAAATCAGTCTTGAACAATATAAAAAAGTTTGAAAAATGTTTTTCAGTATTACTGTTAAATACATGTGTAAAATAAATATATAATAAAAATAATTATTTATGTTAGGAAAAATTACTAAATTTGAATGCAACTATTGAAAAGCTTAAATCAAACAGTAGACATAGTATAAAACGCCTAAATTTGTATACAATATAAACATGTTAAATATAGTAAGATAAAATATATTGGATATAATACTCTAAATAGAATACACTAAAAATACAAAAATAAAATTAACCCATCCTCTTAAACATGAAAGTAACTAAATCTTAATAAATAAATAAATAAAAAAATAAATAAAATATCGAAGGAAATAGAAGTAAAAAATAGCTGCCATTGGTTTCAGCCTATAGATTTTCCGATATTTCATCCCTATATTTTCCTAGATCTTTATGGCCCCATGCGAGCGTGTACTCGGAATTGGGAATAAGAAATCTCTTATCGTCCGCGTAGGATAAGACTATCTTATTTTTTAGCTCTACATACATATTGTGTAAATGTGAACGGAAAGTGTTCATCGAGCGATAGATTTTCGTACCTGCTACATCGACCGTGTTTTTATAATCATCCAAACTAATATCTTGTTTGGTGAGTAGTCAGGCACGCCTTTAGCCTTTTTTCGTTAACTCACCATCCACATTTACACAATATGCTTTTAGCCCCCAGTTCCATAAAACTCCCACAAAATTTTTCCTGCATATTCATCCTTCATACGGCCCAACACAGACGAATTTACAGGAATATCGTGTGGATTGTTTTGCGAGTAATTTGACGTATCGAATCTATCCAAATTTTCGCGCATGTCATCATAAAAATTGTCGGTTTGAATTTGTAAAATTAGAGAATCGGTGTCAGTGTAGAGCAGTGAGGCTTTATTACCGTACTTTGGTTTAATATAACTATACAAAAAATCATACATAATAGTTTTGGAAATTTCCAAAATTGAAAAACCTACGTAAATAGGTTTATTATATACGATTTTCTGTTTAGCCATATGTATTGCGACTAAATTCTCGCTAAAAATCGTCAAGTCTTTAAAATGCGGTTTGGAAATGTACGCTTCTGCCCCTAGCTTTCTACCAATATTTTCCCAGTGGGTAACTAACTTAATATTTACCCGTTTCTCCACGTTCTCCATTGTCTTTCCAAATACAGCGTTATTCATAAGTTTGAAAAAATCTTTTTCAAACTTATTTTCAGCGTTATTACGCTTTGCTGTATTTAGATCAATGTAGGTTTTCAACCAGGGAGATTGATTAAATGATAAAATGCGATGAATTTTGGCAAGTTTCAGACCATGGTTCAACGCTTGTTGTAAATTTTGATAATGAATTACATATCTAACTTTAGAATTAAAATTGGGGATTAATTTTGAAACTTTAGATCCCTCTGGTTGAACGGACTCTGGGCAAAAGGGTAATTCGTTGTGTAAATCATGTAAATGCTCCGGATACTCTAAATCGACTTCAAAAACATAACCTATATTAGAATTTTTATCGATATTCATAAAATTTAAGTTTGAAATTTCTTCTTCTGTTAGCCACGTAAAGTTACCTGTTGGTAGATATTGCGACATGGCTGCACCATATAAATTGGTAGCATCCAAGTACATAATGTAGGAAGTAGGTTTGGAAGCGTCGTATATAGACATAAATTTGTTATTCGCGATAGCTTTTCTAACACTACATTGACTGACACCGCCGCGAATCCCGTGTTTAAAGAAATGTATCATGTCTAGATCTGTCAATAATTTCAGCTCGATAGATGTAGTTTTTAAAGCCGCGTCAAAGGACAGAGATGGTGCGGTGAAGTATTGACAAGGATCTAGACCGTATGTTTGTAGACACACCTCTCTAAAATTCTCAAAAACATCAGTTAATAATAGTACGTCGGATTTTAAATATATATCTGAATATTCGCCTAAAGTTTGACATTTAAATAAATTCCATACGTTCAATGCACGCTCGTAATCTCCTTGTTTGATGGCTTCTTTTCTAAGTTCGTTATAGAAGCCATCAATGGGTGGAAGCTTGGTATCGTCTAATTTGGAAAAGGAATCTACGTACGAATATGGGAAAACACCCTTCATACGAATAACCTTAAATTCTTCTTCGTTAGGGAAATACTTCCTAACTTCGCGACACTGTTGAGACGTTAAATTTTGACTTAGTTTATCTAGACTTGATGCCATGAATCGAAAACTGTCCAAAAATCTTAATTTTAAAAATATCTTTTGTTGTCGCTTTTCCTGATCGTTGTCATCCCCCACCATAATATATTTTGTAAAAGAAATATATCTTTCTTTGTTTTGGGGGATGACGTCCAATCGTTCTTCCTCCACAGCCAATTCTTTTATAAAAAGATGGCTGTCAAAATTTGACATGTTGTGGAAGAACACAGGAATAAAATTAGGTACTTTAAAATTTAGGTTACAAACAGAGTGAGCCGCACCTCGATATTTTCCTGTTAGATGACAGTGGTCCCTTACTCTTTCATCTTCTACATTAAATGGTCTTTCGCAAATATGACAGTGTGTCATCTGATAAAACTCGGCTTCTTGTACGCTACTGAGAGGAGACATGGATACAATATTTTTCATAAATCGATTGTAGATTGATTTACAATCAGTCTCTAACCAATCTATGAAAACTTTATGTGCATCAGGTCCCCTAAAAGTCTTGAAAATCGACTGAGAATTATCAAAATCGCATTTAATGTAATAGGCAAAAGAATAAGGAACGTGTTGGTGTGTTTTCACCGTATAGGAAATTTCAGGATCCAACTCGTTTTGCTCTGTTTGTATAGGTTCCAAAATAGTTTCAAAATCAGCGTATACAACAAAAGGCACTTTTAATTTTCGTTCGAAATTCGTAAATTTAAGGATATTCTCGGGAATATTTTCACCATATTTATTTTTCTTTAAATTATCCGAAGGAGTTTCAACTACAACATGACCACAATCCTATTTTTGATGATTTTCTAATTTAATATCTGAAGAAAAATAAACTAAGCAACCATCGCATAAGAATTTTGAATGTTGTTTGCCTGAAAGTTGGTTGGAGATTAGGCGAGACATATTTCTTAATAAACAGTAATGATTATTGCCAGAATCATCACTGATTAATAACAAATTCACATGTCTATCTGCCTTATGAGATCTAGTAAAATACAAAGGACCAACAACTTCAATAATATTCCTATCATGTTTATAACCCTTCTCGAGTCCATAAACATTAATAGAAATATTATTAAGTTGTTCGAATTTTGAAATTTGTTTTAAGGATATCGGAAAATCTATACCTGACACATCCAATTCCTGCTCGAAAGATTGATAATTCTGGACTCGGTTGGCGTTCTGAGTTCGGGGAACTGGGTGAAAGGCGGCTAAAACCGACCATACAAAACATTTCTGGTCAGTGTTTTGTATGTTCAACACAGCCCTTTTCGCTTCTATTTCCTTCGGTAATGGTATATAAGATGAGGCTTTTAGTGGGTTGATTTTATTTACCCTTACATCTACGTGAAGGAGTTGCTGAAGAGTCCAACCTAATGTACACGAAAAAATAATTAGTATGGTGAAATCAGAAAAAATTATATACTTACCACTATCTTTTTCATTGAACTCCTGGAATCTCCGCTTAATGATAGTGGTGAACTGATCAAACAACTCCTCCAAATCGGTGCCCTGACTTGCTCCCCTGAACCTAGAGCCAAAGGACTTGGTCTCCTCTACCTCCTTTGTCTGCAGGAGGAAACGACCGAAAAGCTCCATACCGACTTTCACATTGCCAAATCTTTCGATTTGGCACCTTACCAACGCAATAATTTTTTCGCGGAGATTAGCTAAAAAATCATTAACGCGATAGGATCTTTTTTCGATAAAAGTCGGTATGTAGCAATTCGGTTTTTGTAAGAGGTATTAACTAAGTAAACACCTTCCTCCTGCATTACCAAGTGTTCTAAAAAAAAAAATGCGTTTTAATTTAAAAGGTGTATAAAAAAATAATAATAACTTACCGTTATTGAAACCAAGTCTAGCTCTCTTTGGCACCGAAGACTCTGACTCTGCCTGATTGACTAAAATAAAAGAAAAAAAATATTTAATATAAAATAGATCCTTTCTGTTAAAAAAAAATAGAAATATATGTTAAATAGTTAATTAGTTTAAATAATTGAAAAAAAGTTAAAAATAATAGTTGAATATATTAAAAATAATTAAATAGTTAATTAATTTAAAAATAATGGAAAAAGTTAAAAAAATAATAGAAAAATATGTTAAAAAATAATTAAATAGTTAATTAATTTAAAAATAATGGAAAAAGTTAAAAAATAATAGAAAAATATGTTAAAAAAAATAATTAAATAGTTAATTAATTTAAAAGTAATGAAAAACAAATAATTACTTACTGTTAGTGGCAGAGCTTGTTCTTTTCAGGGAGGTCTTCTCTAAATTTTTTGGTTCAGGCTGATTGACTAAAATAGAAAAACCATTTAATATAAAATAAAAAATAAAATAAAAACTCACCATTAGGGGCTCCTTTACAAATCTTCATATGCCTGCCTAAACTATCACTTCTGCTAAAGGATTTCAAACATTTTTGGCACATATCTAAAATAAAAAAGCATTTTTTAAAGCCAGAACATAAAATAAAAATATTTACTTACGTTTACTAAGGCTAGCACCCTCGTCCACGCTGGTTTGGGGCGTGGCAGTTTGGATTTCATTGGCTAAAAAAATAGAAAAAACATTTAATATTGCACAATATAAAAAATAAAATAAAAAACTCACCATTACAAGTCTTCGCATGTCTTGTCAAATTCCTTTTATAGGAAAACAATTCCCCACAAGTGCTGCACAGAAACATTTTTTTTTTATTTTTCACAGTGAAACGACTAATTTCGACGAGAGGCAAGTAGAGACTGACGTGAATTGCGAGTTGTTTGCTGGGTACAATGCTAGGCCGGAAACGGAAACGGAAACCGCAATCTAGAAAAACAAACGCGTGATATCATAGTCGTCATACCGGAAGCTGCAAAGTCCGATTAAAAATAATACCGACCGCAAACTCCGATAAGGAATAAATGTTGCACAATGTATTTTTCACCAAGTTTGATTTATTTTATTTTACTTAAATATTTATCACAATAATTCATCTTCTAGAAAAACAAAAGCATGACATCATGAGAGGAAGCCGTAAAGATTGAAGTATTAGATCATTTTACTGTAAACCATTGCCTTGTTCACATCGCTCTCTCTTTCATCATTGATTTTGAACCAAGTTTGATTTATTTTTACCGTTTAAATAAATATTATTATTATTTATGAATACCCAAAAGGCATTATTAATTAAAACTCAATCGTCAAACGTCAAAATTATCATCATCTGTGTTAAAAAACATGGAAAGATTTTTTTTTGGAATATATACCGGGTGTGAAAAAACAATCTATGATGTAAAGCGTTTGTTTTTCATTAACACCTTGTATATAACAGATATGACGTAGGACAGATTGACGTTTGACATTTGACGTTTGACGTAAGATATGTTTGACAGATGACATTTGACAGATGACGTAAGACAGGTTTGACGTTTGACATATGACATTTGACGTTTGACAGATGACAGGTTTGACATTTGACGTTTGACAGGTTTGACGTTTGACATATGACGTAAGACAGGTTTGACGTTTGACATATGACGTAAGACAGGTTTGACAGATGACGTAAGACAAGTTTGATGTTTGACATATGACGTTTGACGTTTGACAGATGACGTAAGACAAGTTTGACGTTTGACATATGACGTTTGACGTTTGACAGATGACAAGTTTGACGTTTGACGTTTGACATATGACGTTTGACATTTGACAGCTCCCCTCCTCCTCGCGCCTGCGCCGTGCGCCTCCTCCTCGCGCCTGCGCTGTACCCCTCCTCCTCGCGCATGCGCCGTGCGCTCTGCTCCTGCTCCTGATGCAGAATCGGCCTTCTACCTCTACTAGAGATTTTTGATGTGTGAATCGAAGTCTCTGCCATTAATTTTATTAATCGAAATTGTGGTTTATTTAATTTACACTAACAAAATTTATATTTATAAAAAACTAGTTTCTTTCCGGCGATTTCGTCCGCATAAAATTCGAATTTTATTAATATAAAGTGTAATATCTATTATAGCACCTAATGGCACTATTTGAATTTTTGGCACTACTACTAAATAAAAAGTTTTTTACGTGTAAAAAACTATTCGTTACATGTAAAAAATATTTTTTTAATTTACTACTTTTTATTTCTTTCAACATTTTAAATTACACTTTTTCTACTGTAAAATTACTAAAAACTACTTCTACTAATGAAAATATACTTGACTAAAATACAAACCTAAAAATCAAAACACATTTATGAGGTAATATAATTTCGATTTCATTCTCTGATAGATGGTTATTAATTTTGATTAGATTCATATTTTTGCTGTTATTAAAGTATCACATTTTCTGATAATTATTGTCACCTTTTCTGTAGAATTGAACTAAATAAATCTTGTCCTTATTTAACATCTTAAAATAGAAAAAATGAACTAAAATACTATTAAATTATCAAAACCAAACCAAATCATAGACATCCGTTTTGATTTTTAGGAAAGACTTATTTTTATTGTTTATTGTATATCTTTCACACATATATAACACAATTTACTAGAGCTAGTACACACAAAATAGATCCTTTTAATAATTTACATATTTTAAGAAAACGTGTCTCATATCTTAATTTATTATGATGACACTTTACTTTTACCATATACTGCATAATCAAAAATATAACTGTATAAAGATACAAAGAAGTGACAATTGATGAAATTTCATACACAAAATTATATAGTAAATATCACTTATTGTCATTCTAAAGTTAACTTAGAAAATGTACGGAGAAGACCAGGCTACCAGTAACATAGCAAGTTGCCGGACGAATTTGCGTTTACCCGATTGCGTTCGTACTCGAGATTCACTGCCGGTTGGTCGGCTGGTCAGGCAGTACACAGTTGCAGGTATGCTTGGACGGGTCGGTCGTGACACACTAGGTGTACGACGCGAGGAGTGCCGAGTATTTATTATTTTCATTTTAAGTGTTTACCTTCACTTAAGGTAACATTTAAAATAAAAATACTTAAATATTTATTATTTGAGTGTGTTTACGAGCCAAAACTAAAAATAAATTAATTCACTAAACCCAAAACTCATTTCCAAAATTAAAAAGTAAATCAATAAAATAAAAAAAAATACCTACTTTAAATAAAAAAAAAAGTTATAATTGGCTAACATATTAGGGCTAATAATTTGGAAAGCCTCTCGTATTTTTACTTGAAGCTCATCCAGATTATTAGCCCTATTATGGCCATACACTTTGGATTTTAGATAACCCCACAAAAAGAAATCATTGGGAGAAAGATCTGGTGATTTAGCGGGCCACAAAATAGTTCCATGTCCACTAATTAAACGGTTGGAAAAAGTATTGTTCAAATATTTTTGAACAATACGGGCATGCAGGGCAACCATCTTGTTGAAACCAGACATTGTAGAATATTTCTCCCAATAACTCTCGGAGTCTAGGGACAATCTGTAACAAGTCCAAATACTTTGCAACAATTAAATTACCCTCTATAAAAAATGGACCAATCATATGTTTCCCTACAAAACCACCCCAAACATTTAGCTTTTGGGGATATTGCGTGCATACCTCAAAATATCTGTGCAAATTTTCCCGAGACCAATATCGTACTTGTGTAGGGTTATAACGACACAATAAAGGAAAACTTGATTCGTCGGTGAAAACTATACGCCGAATAAAGTTTTCATCTAAATTGGCCTTTTCTATTTCAGATTCACAAAACGCCATACGCCGAAATTGGTCTTCATGGAAAATTTCTTGAGTTTTGCGCGCTTTATACGATCGGTATTCATTCTTTTTAAGGACTATTTTAACCGTGCTAGGTGAAGAATCTGTTACCTCAGCAATTTGATTACTTGAAAACGTGGGATTTGGATCCGCGGTAGCACAACATCCATTATTTTACTTAAAAAATAAATTTTACACAAGAGCTGTCGCTAGAATCTATGTATTCGTTTTGGCTATTAAAACACGAATATAAATACAAATTCTGAAACATTCTTATCCCATATCTACCTATTTTTATTTTATCGCATTTTTTCGCCGGCTTTTTATCCGGCGGACGGGTATACGCTAATTCGTCTGGTTCTACCTATCTTCCTACTACGGTGGTCCGGTCTGTATATTTTATCATCCTGAGGTACTAAGAAAAAAAACAGCAAATCTTTAAATATCATTTAATTAAAATTGGATGTAGTATAAATTATGCAGTATAAAAAGAATAAAAATTTTCAGTTGGATCTCTAAACAGTATTTAATTTAAACAGTTATTGTAAATAATCTTAACAATCGGTATCATCTAAGTCCCGATTTTACAGAATAAATACACCCAAAACCCTATCTAAATTAATGAAGGCTAGGCCGTCAACTGCCCCTTTGGCGTTAAAATATATTTTCAGGACACGAAAACGTTGCCTGTACGGTAGCTGGAGAAAAATATCTCGGTAAAGAAAAACAAACAAGGGCCCGGGCTCCATAAATTTTAAGCCCTCCGGATTATTTCAAGCAAACCGCTCCTTTAGCGGCTTTTGTTTAATGCATGATAATGCATAGGTACCGCCCAAGCTATTAAAAGTTTCTCCCAAAATGTTCCTTTTGGTGGCATGGTTTAGGTGCAATTAATTCTCTAATTATAAAATTTATAATAAATATTAACCTAAGATTGGTCTACATGAGCATATTACTCACATTTTTACGAAAATGCCGATAAATCTTGTGTTATAGTATTTGGTAGTGATATAAACAAAATTACAAATACGGCTGGTAACATGAATATCCATATAGATAATGTTGCGATACCCATTGTTACAGAGACTAAAAATCTTGGAGTCTATTTTGATGCGAAGCTTACTTTTCAGGCACATATAATTACTGAATTAAAGGCTGCTTATATATGTTTGAAGAATTTTTTGTCTCTTAAGAAATATATACCATCAAAGACTAAGTATCAATTATGTGACACACTTATTTTATCTTTATTTGATTACGGCGATGTTGTTTATGGTACATCAATAAACGCTAGATTCTCTAGAAAAATCCAAATACTTCAAAACTCGTGTCTACGGTTTTCTTTTAACATTCCTTTTAGAGATCATATAACGCCACATCTTAAAAATTTATCTATTTTATCCATGACTAACAGACGACAATTTTATTTAATGACATTCATTTATCAAATTTTAACTACAGAGCAGCCTCCCTATTTGTTTGATCTCCCTATTGTTTCACTACGTTGACCATGATCATTCGACTAGGCAAGTGAATTATTTTAAAATTCCTCAACACCGAACAGCTAACTTCCAAAAATCTTTCAGTTTCATAGCGCCACATTTTTGGAATAATATTTATAATAACTTTAAATTTCAAACCTTTACAGATTATATAAAAAAAATAAAAATAATTTACTAGTAATTAGTAAAAATTATAATTTCGTCGACTGATTTGTTAGGATCTTGTTCTTGATCATTGGTTGCTGTTCCGGTTTTTACACTGTTTCGTTATGTCTCTCTGCTTTTCTCCGCTCATCTCTGATAAAATTATATTTTCACTTTTTTGGTCTAATTTTAATTTTTTTAATTCTGTTTATTTTTATAATTTAATTTATTTCTATTTTGTTTTTGGGGCCGCACCACTCTAGCACTTTGTGTCATTGTATCGGTTTTTTAATCGCGGTGCAATCCCTTTAGACACACATTTATTTTTAATAATATTATTCTGTAAAACTTAATGGGGTCTAATAAAGAAATTTGAATTTGAATTTGAAAATGGATATTTTAATAGTGTTATGGTTATGAACAAAACTTTTTCAATTCAAATGTCAAGTCAGTATTGCTGTATGGTACAGAAACCTGGAAAATTACACCGCAATTAACACCAATTATTCTCTATTTAACTCCAAGTATTCATAAACTGCTGTCTGCGAAAAATTGACCAAACACTATCACAAATGATGATTTATGGAGTTTAAACAACCAGATGCATGTTTATAATGAGATCAAACTGAAAAAATGGGGGTGGATTGGTCACACATTAAGACAAAGCGGTAACAATATCGCTGGCAGAGCTATTGAGTGGAATCAAGGCAGTTGAGAAGAACTGGTCGACCAAGACACCAATTCAGGCAATTTCAAACAACCGAACTCGCTGGAGAGCAT